AATATTCATATTGTAGTGTATATATATGTGATAGTTATTTAATAATTTTTAAATTTTTAAATTTCGTTATTTCTAAATTGTATTCTTATATGTACTCTAGACTTCTTTTTTCAGTATTCTTTATTTTTGTCGAGCTAACTAGTTGGGTGGCCCGCGCAATTGCACGGCTAGCACCTAAACAAAATCATATATTTTTTTAAGTATGGTTTTACTTAAAATTTATTAAATAGCTATCTCAATGTCTTAAAACTTTGAAAGAACAAAACTTATCATCCCCGTGTTTCTAATTATATAATTTTTTAAAAGTCGCACCAGTTGCTACCCCTTGTGTCATCTCTTTCATTATTTGCTTGCTCGATCTACCACTATTTCTATTTATTCTCCTTGTAACCTTTAAAAATTGGACCTTATAGTTTTTAGAGTTTATTGTCACGTTGGGTTTCGTTTTTATAATTTCTAGGCGTCCCGTCAAACGTTGCCATTATACTCCTCTATGGCCCGTCCACTGTCTCTTCTCTTTATTGTCATTGAGATTTTAAAAATCGAACATAATTATCGTTTGGATTCATTTTTACTTTTTAGAAGTCCCGCCAAACCGTCAGCGGTTTTGCCATTGTACTTCTCTATGGCTCGCCCGCTGTCTCCCTTCTTTATTGTCATTGAGATTTTAAAATCGAACATGATTATCATTGTTTTATTTTTACTTTTTAGAAGTTCCGAACCTTTAAAAATTGGACCTTCTAGTTTTTAGAGTTTATTATCTCGTCAAATGATGCCACTATGCTCCTCTACGGCTCGTCCGCCGCCTACTCTTTATTGTCATTGTGATTCTAAAAATCAAACATAACTATCGTTGGAATTATTTTTTTATTTTCTAAAAGTCTCGTCAACCGTCGGCGGCTCTGCAACTACACTCCTATACACCACGCCCACTGCTTCTCCTTTTTATTGTTATTGAGATTTTAAAAATCGAATATGATTATCAATGGGATTTATTTTTTTTTGCTCATTTGCTTCATGGCCTGCCTGCCGTCCCTCTTTTAATCGTCATTACGATTCTATTATGTGTTTTATTAACAGTTTTTATATGTCGTATCAACTATCATCGGGCATGTTACTTAATTTATCTCGTCATGTGTTTTAGATGGTCTTTTCTTTCAATATTTTTTTATCACAAATTTTAGCTATTTATAAATTGTATTCCTAATTGAAATCTTATTTTTCTTTTTCTAATTTCAGAATTTAGTTTTTTTTAAAAAAAATTAATTCATATCTTATTGTGTTCTTTAAATATTTTTATTTTTTATTTTCAATTTCAGTTGTTTCAAAACTGTATTCCTACTTGAACTCTCTTTTAGTTTTTCTAATTTTGGACATTATTTTATTTTTTATTCTGAGTTTTAATTAATCTCGTATTGGGTTCTTATATGGATTATTCTTTCAATATTGCTTATTTTTAATTCCGAATTTCAGCTAATTTTAAATTGTATTTCTAGTTGAACTCTTATTTCAGTTGTTTCAAAATTTTATTTCTACTTGAACTCTCTTTTATTTTTTTCTAATTTTGGATATTATTTTATTTTTATTCTGAATTTTAATTAATCTCATATTGGGTTGTTATATGGATTCTTCTTTCAATATTGCTTATTTTTAATTCCGAATTTTAGCTAATTTTAAATTGTATTCCTAGTTGAACTTTTTTTTTTGCTAATTTTGGATTTTATTTTTATTTTTATTCCCAATTTTAATTAATCTCGTATTGGGTTCTTATATAGACCCTTCTTTTAGTATTCCTTATTTTTAATTCCGAATTTTAGCTATTTTAAAATTGTATTCCTACTTGGACTATCCTTTTCTTTTCTAATTTTGGATTTTATTTTATTTTTATTTTGAATTTTGATTCATCTCGTATTGGGTTCTTATATGGAAACTTCTTTCAATATTGCTTATTTTTAATTCCGAATTTCAGCTATTTTTAGATTGTATTTCTATTTGGACTCTCCTTTTCTTTTTCTCCGATTAATGTGGGAATTTCTAACCCCCACAGCGAATGTGATGCCTTCTTTCAAAGCTGTTTTAATAATATAACTAGCTGGGTGGCCCACGCAATTGCGCGGCTAGCACCCATATAAAATTATATATTTTTAATATGATTTTACTTCAAATTTATTAAATAGTTATCTCGTTGTCTTAAGATTTTTAAATACTAAACCTTATTATCCTCATGTTTCTAATTTCTTTAGTTTCTAAAGTTACAACAGTTGCTACCCCTTACTTCTGTCATATTATTATTTATTTGCTTGCTCGATCTACCACTGTTTTCTATTCATTCTCCTTGGAATCTTTAAAAATTGGATCTAAAAACTATAAGTTTTAGAGTTTATTATCCTGTTGGACATCTTTTTTATAATTTCTAGAAGTCCCGTCAAACACTGTCATTATACTCATCCATGACCGTCCACTGCATCTTCTCTTTTTTGTCATTGCTATTTTAAAAATCGAACATAATTGTCATTTAGGTTTATTTTTTTTTACTTTCTAGAAGTTCCGCCAAAACGTCAGCGACTTTGTCACTGTACTCCTCTACGGCTCACCTGCTGTCGCCCTTCTTTATTGTCATTGAGATTTTAAAATCAAACAGGATTATCATTGCGGTTTATTTTTTTTACTTTTTAGAAGCCCAAACCTTTAAAAATTGGAGTTTATTGTCTTGTTGGGTTTTATTTTCTTTTATAATTTTTAGAAATCCCGTCAAACGCTGCCACTATACTCCTCTATGACCCGTCCGCCGCATACTTTTTGTTGTCATTAGGATTGTAAAAGTCAAACATAACTATCATTGGAATTCATTTTTTTTTTTACTTTCTAGAAGACCCACCAACCATCGGCGACTTTGCCATTGTACCCCTATACGACCCACCTGCTGCCTCTCATTTTTATTATTATTAAGATTTTAAAAATCAAATATGATTATCATTGGGTTTATTTTTTTTTACTTTCTAGAAGTCCTGTCACCCGCCTTAACCGATTGCTTCACAACCTGCCCGTTGTACTTCTTTTTAGTCGTCATTAGGATTCTATTTGGTGTTTTATTAATAGTTTTTAGATGTCCCATCAACCGCCACTACTCTGCTCCTTTGTAGGCATGTTACTTAATTAATCTTTTCATGTGTTTCAGATGGTCTTTTCTTTTTAGTAATCTTTATTTTTTTATCACCAATTTTAGTTATTTATAAATTGTATTCCTAGCTGATATCTTATTTTTCTTTTTCTAATTTCAGAATTTATTTTAGTTTCTGTATTGTGTTCTTTTGATATTTTTTTTATTTTCAATTTCAGTTGTTTAAAATTGTATTCCTACTTTAACTCTCTTTTTAATTTATTTAATTTTTTATTTCCAATTATAGTTAATCTACTATTGGGTTCTTATATGGACTCTTATTTTAATATTGCTTATATTTAATTCCGAGTTTTAGTTAATTTTAAATTATATTCCTACTTGAACTCTTCTTTTCTTTTCTTTTTTCTAATTTCGATTTTTTTTGTTTTTTTATTTCGAATTTTAATTAATCTCGTATTGGATTCTTATATGGACTCTTCTTTCAATATTTTTTATTTTTAATTCCGAATTTCTGCTATTTTTAAATTGTAATCCTACTTGGACTCTTTTTTTTGGGTAATTTCAGATTTTATTTTATTTTTATTCCGAATTTTGATTAATCTCGTATTGGGTTCCTATATGGACTCTTCTTTCAATATTTCTTATTTTTAATTCCGAGTTTCAGCTATTTTTAGATTATATTTCTACTTAGACTCTTTTTTTTGCTAATTTCGGATTTTATTTTATTTTTATTCCGAATTTTGATTAATCTCGTATTGCGTTCCTATATGATCTCTTCTTTCAATATTGCTTACTTTTAATTCGGAATTTCAGCTATTCTTATATTGTATTTCTACTTAGACTCTTCTTTTTTTTTCTCCAATTAATGAGGGGAATTTTTAGCCCCCACAGCGAACGTAAAAATCAAATATGATTATCGCTGGGTTTTTTTTTTTTACTTTCTAGAAGTCCTGCTAAACGCCTTGACCGATTGCTTCACGACTTGCCCGTTTGTAATTCTTTTTAGTCGTCATTAGGATTCTATTTTGTGTTTTATTAATAGTTTTTAGATGTCTTTATTAATAGTTTTTAGATGTCCCATCAACCACCACCAATATACTCCTTTATAGGCATGTTACTTAATTAATCTCGTCATGTGTTTCAGATGGTCTTTTTTTTAGTAATCATTATTTTTTATCTTTGACAAAATATCTGGTGTTGGATGACCTTGGGAGGTTGACGGTGATAGGATATGCAAAATAACATCTCTATACACATGGGTTTATCTTGGAGGGGGGGGGGGGGGGGAGGGGGATATCAAACCATGGTCATATTAATGTAGCGTGGAAGCCTATAAGATATATATGCTGGTGCTAAGTCACTCGATATGGATTAGACGTAAATGAAACCCTAGTTTGTATTAATAGTATATATGAACATTTTTTGTAAGTTGTTACAACTATTTGCACCTATCATATATAACATATATGCAATTTACTCTACCTTTGACCTTGATATTTTGCACTGAATTTAACAGAGTTGCGTGATGTCAAATTGTTCACTAATTTACGCGCATCCAACATAATAAAAAACAAAAAATAATAATAATAAACGAATTAACTGCCCACCAGATGTTTTTGAACACATCACGAGATAGTCACCCTTCCAAAATACACACGGCAGCAGACGAACAAGACCCCAACAACACGCCACGAAACGCAAGCAATAGATTTGTCCGATGGTTAGGTCCAACCGCCGCGACACACACAACGTTCAGTTAGGTTCCAGTAGCTCACAGGTCGCAACGCCCCTCACCCAAACAACGATTTTGCCCTTACTCTTAGCTTAACTCTTACACCCAATACTGATGACTAGCTACTTGCTCCAATCTTATTAGCAGCTAATGGTTTTTTCTCCGGCCCCCAATTTCATCATCACCAATTCACCAAGTAATTAATCTTCACACTAAACCGAGTCTTCTTTTTCTCTCTCTCTCTCTCACAATCTCAGTAGTAAGAGCCAGCCTCTGTTCTAGAAACCGTGCGTGCATCACAGACAAAGCTGTGCATGGTGTGTCGTGACGAGCATGCGTGAGTGCGTTACACGCTCAAGAAAAGTGTGTTAGCTTAGCTTAGCTAGCCAACCATGCATATATTCGTCACGTTCGTTTCGAGTTGATCGATCTTGTGTTTAATTCCAAGCTCCTCTTGAGCGGCCGTAATTCTTGATCGTCGTTCCCATTTGCTATAGCTAGCTAGCCATGGAGGACCTGTCGCTGTCGTCGGAGCTCGACCCGGCGCTCCTCTCGACGTCGACGTCGTCGTCGTCGCCGCCGGACTCCGCCTCGCCGTCCTTCTCCTTCTACCACCCTTCGCCTCCCAACTACACCCTCGCCGTGTCCAACCTCTCATGCCGGGACCCTCGCCGCGGCTCCGGCGGCGCCGGGTTGCTCTCGTGGTTGTTGGGTTCTTTCTCGACCAGCTCGCCGCCGGCCACCGGCGGCGCGGGCCTCCTGAACAACGTGTCGTTCACGGCCTCCAGCTCGCAGATCCTGGCCGTCGTCGGCCCCAGCGGCGCCGGCAAGTCGACGCTGCTCCGCATCCTCTCCGGCCGCGGCACCGGCGGCGAGATCGCCGCCAGGCCGCACGCGGTGGTGTCCGTCAACGGGCGCGCGGTGACCTCCCGCGCGCGGCTCCGCCGGATGTGCGGGTTCGTGACGCAGGACGACAACCTCCTCCCGCTGCTCACCGTGCGGGAGACGATCCTGTTCGCGGCGCGGTTCAGGCTCCGGTCCGCCGTGACGGCGCGGGAGCGCGGCGAGCGGGTGGAGGCGCTGATGCAGGAGCTGCGTCTGTCGGAGGTGGCGGACAGCTACGTCGGCGGGTGCGGCGGCGCCGGCGGCGCGCCGCGCGGGGTGTCCGGCGGCGAGCGGAAGCGGGTGTCCATCGCGGTGGACATCGTGCACGACCCGCCGGTGCTGCTGCTCGACGAGCCGACGTCCGGGCTGGACAGCCGGTCCGCCATGGACGTGCTGTCGCTGCTCCGCGACGTGGCGCGCGCGCGGCGGCAGGTGGTGGTGCTCAGCATCCACCAGCCCAGCTACCGCATGCTCGCCTACATCTCCTCGATGCTGCTCCTCTCCCGCGGCGCCGTCGCGCACTTCGGCACGCTCAAGTCGCTGGAGCACTCCCTGTCCCGCCTCGGCCACGAGATCCCCATGCAGCTCAACCCGCTCGAGCTCGCCATGGAGGTCACCGAGCAGCTCGAGGCCGACCACGCCAGGTTCGGCGCCGCGCTCGCCACCACCATCCATCAACACCAACACAACAAGGTCATCGACGACGAGGACGAAAGCAGCGGCGCTGGCGAGCACGAGCACGAGCACGGCTACTACTGCAGCCGCGCGGTGGAGGTGGGGGCGCTGGCGGTGCGCTGCTGGCGCACGATGCACCGCACCAAGGAGCTCTTCGCGGCGCGCGCGGCGCAGGCGGTGATCGCCGGGCTGGGGCTCGGCAGCGTCTACTTCCGCATCCGCCCGGACCCGGAGGGCGTCGCGCTCCGCCTGGGCCTCTTCGCCTTCAGCCTCAGCTTCCTCCTCTCCTCCACCGTGGAGGCCCTCCCGATCCTCCTCCACGAGCGGCGCGTCCTGATGCGCGAGGCGTCCCGCCGCGCCTACCGCCTCTCCTCCTACGTGGTGGCCAACGCCCTCGTCTTCGCGCCGTGCCTCCTCGCCGTGTCCCTCCTCTTCTCGGCGCCCGTCTACTTCCTCGCGGGGCTCCGCGCCACGACCCAGGCCTTCGCCTGCTTCGCGCTCGCCGTGTGGCTCATCGTGCTCATGGCGAGCTCCCTGGTGCTCTTCCTCAGCGCCGTCTCCCCCGACTTCGTGCTGGGGAACTCGCTGATCTGCATGTCGCTGGGCGTGTTCTTCCTCTTCTCCGGCTACTTCATCCCGAGGGAGAGCATCCCGAGGTACTGGGCGTTCATGTACTACGTGTCCATGTACAGGTACCCGCTGGACCTGCTGCTGATCAACGAGTACGGCGGCAGCAGCAGCGGCAGGTGCGTGGCGTGGGCGGGAGGCGTGTGCTTGAGGAAGGGGGGTGATGTGCTGAGGGGGAGAGGGATCGACGAGGGGATGAGGTGGGTCAATGTCGGGGTCATGCTAGGGTTCTTCGTCTTGTACAGGGTCATGTGCTGGGCTGTGCTGGTCAGGAGGGCAGCCAAGACCACGCTGTGATTTTTCACATAAGTGTGTGTTGTAAGTAGTACTCGTATATGGGAAATGGGACGTGACTACGCGTCGGACGTCCGATCCACTAGAGAGCTGAGATATACTGTTCCTAGCAGTCTTGTTTGTTGAAATCCAAAGATGTGTAGCTCCCCTATTTTCTGTTCACGTGTCCTTAACATTTTTAAAAAAGGCAAAATTTGCTATAGGACATTTAAAATTTGTGGCTTTTACTATGAGACACCTAAAGAACATATATCTTCTCATAAACACTGCAAAAATATGGTGGTTAACGGCTGGAAACCCGTTTCATTATTTTATTATTTCCGGTGAAAACAGATCAAGAAACTTCAATGAAAGACAAGTTTGCCCTTGCAGCCGCCGTGGGTGGAGGTGGAACGGCAGTGGCCATGTGGATGACGGTTGCTGTGGGGGGAAGTCGGAGATGGCACGGTGGTGCGAGAGGCACTGGAGCTCGGCGTGTCGGTCGGCGGCCATGCGCATGACAAGCTCGAGGTGCGCTTAGTGGCAGCGGATCTAGAGGCGGGCGTGGTCAGGGGGCAGGTCATCATTGTGGTCGAGGTCCCGTGCGGCCATGTGGACCTAGTCGTGCAAGATCTAGGCGTGGTCGTTGGGCCAGCAGCGGGCAACGTAGCAGACGATAGAGGCAGAGATGGGGTCGAGGAGCCCTTGCGGCTGGATCCATCCCAGTCCTAGTCGCTGTCGCTTTGGCGGCGGGCTAGGCGGGGTCGTCGGGCCAACAGAGTGGCAGCCGCGGGAGGTCGCCCATTGCCGGCCGAGGAGATGAGGCACGGGCTCAGGTTCATGGTTGGATCCATCCCAGTCCTAGTCGCTGTCGCTTTGGCGGTGGGCTGGGCAAGGACGATGACGACGGCAACGATGGGATTGGGTTGGAAGAATTTGATAAAAGAAGAGCCAATGCCCTCCGATGACGACAAGAAGGAGGATTGTGATCAATGGAGTTCCTCAGCTTGCCACTCACTAGAAGGGTGGATTGTGAATTTGTGATGTATGGATAGTGCCAGATTCTTACTTTTGTTGTTGTTTCTCTCTCTGTTTTCACCAGATATAATAAAATAATGCGGCGGGTGTCCAACAACTAATTACTATATTTTTATAGTATCCACGAGAAGATACACGTTTTTTGAGTGTCTCACAGCAAAGATCACAAACTTTGAGTGTTATGTAGCAAATTTTGCCTTACAGAAATGAGGTGAAGATCAAAGAATTGGTCGCTTAAATTGTTTGATAATAAAAGTGTGAAACACATATATTGTACTATTCCATCTATTATACATTACTATAAGATACCTTTGAAAGAAGGCACCATAATCATTGTGAAGTCTAGAAATTCACACATTAATAAAAAAAGAAGAAAAAAACTTAACCATTAGATCATAGTGGACTCATATTATAATGGTATAGAAAAAAGAAGGCACCATGACATGGTTGTTTTCAGAGAGACGGTGAACAATGCTGACCATTTCCCTCACCCACCACCATGTAAGTGTAGTTTAAGGATCTATCATGCATAACATTTAGGCTTAGCATTCTAAATTACTCGATATGACTTTACTTATTTTGTAGGTAACTATTATCTGGTGGATTCTGGTTACCCTCTACGTGAAGGCTATATGTCCCCATATCGCAAGACAAGATATCATTTGAAGCAGCTTGATACCAAAGGTCCTGAAAATTTGCACGAGATTTTTAACTACCAGCATTCTTGTCTACGGAATGTAGTTGAACGCTCATTTGGGGTTCTGAAAGAGTAAGTGGTGGATTCTGAAGGGCATACTGTTTTATCGTATGGAGAAGCAATCAAAGATTATCGTAGCATGCTTCGTGTTGCACAATTTTGCAATGGACAACAAAGAACCTGACATGGATGTGCACAATGTGTTTGGTGAGAACAAGTACCTTTGCAGGTCAGGTCAACAAATTGGCTCTGCCCACGATTGGTTAGCGGCGACAGCCAAGCTGGACTATATGGTTTGGCATGAATTGGTAAGTGTTTTGTTAAATGGTAGAGCGTTGTTCCGGTCCATCAGCTCGTACCTCACGGTACTTGTACCTCGCGGTACAGAAATGCATCTAACCGTTCGCTATCAAGGGGCACGATGGGGAAAACGGCGGAAGCGCAGCCCGCAACGCGCCTCAGGCATTAGGAGCCGCTGCCCACACGTCGTCACGTCGACATGCAGCGCCGCAAGCTCATCTCGTAGAAGCCGGCGTCGAAGCCGGCGACCGCTCCAATTCATTGACGCGCGGTGACGCAAGGGAGGAGGAGGAGGCCCCGACTCCGATTCACTGACACGCGGCGACGAATCATCCCGTCGAGGACGTCGTCACCGTCATCCGCGCCGACGAGGCGCACCACTGCGACCTCGACGTCTTCATTTTTTCAAGTTGATGTACATGACCATCCATGACGAGCTGTCTATGTTGACCACGATAACATTCACAGGTGGTCGTGGTGCGAGGCAGCGATGTGGTTGTAGAGTGGTCGTGGTGCCTGTTCCGACAACTCCACGACCACCTCGCTGCCTCGGCCACCTCGACGTCATGGCCGGCAATGCTCCTAATGCCACCGCCGCCGCATAGCTTGGTGTCTGATCTCTCCACGACCACCTCGTGTCTCACCCCGCTGCTCGCAATGGCTATGCCTAGACCAGACCTCGCAGAGTCGTGGGCCACACATGCCGCATGCTGCCGTGGACCCCGCAGCCCGTGCCGTCGACGCTGGGATTGGATCTCGCCGCACGTCGCCGTCAAACGCTGGCCCTGCAACGCACCGCGCTGCTCGCCGCCGCCGTCGAAGCCGGGGCCGAACAACGCAGGCCGCATGCCACCCCGAACCCTTGAACCCCGCAGCTCGCCGCCGCCACCATCAACACCGGCCCTGAACCTCGTCGTCCGCTAATGCCGCCGTCAACAATGGCCTCACCGCCCACCCCAGAGCCCTTACATGCGAAAAGTCTATACTACCCTTCCACCTCTCTTCAAAAGACGGTACCACCATATGGGCTAAAATGGTACCGCATGGTATCGAGAAATCTCAATCGTTTGATTTGTCCCAATTGATGGCTAGGATTTAGTACCGCCTCCCTTGGCTGGATGGGAGTAAATCTCATGCAGAGGAGGCACCTTCGGGTTAGTGGATCGGGAGGAGGAAGAGCTTCAGCCCTCATGCCTCAGCGCAAATAGATGTATGATGCGAAGTTTCTTATTTGCCCTTCCACAACGCGGACCCAGGGGAGGTACCGCCAAACGGGATTACGGTACCTTGCGGTACCAACGTTTATCAGCCGTCGGATCATGCTCAATGGACAAATAGGATTTGGTACCTCCTCCTGTTGGACTGTAAAATTCCTCTTAATGAGTTGGTATGTAACATCAGCTGCATGGTGGGAAGTAGTAGAATGTAACAATATAAATTATTTTGATCTTCTCGTTCCAATTGAATATACTGAAGCTATGTTTGTGTTTGATTGATTTTGCAGTGCACAATATCGTTCGTGATGTAGGAGTCAGCAGTTATTGTTCTGTGATAGCCCTAGTTAATTTGAAAGTCTTGTTCTGTAGTGTAGTATACACACTCCACTAACAGGGTTAAAATTTTCACCAAATTTGTGTTACAGGGCATATTAGTGCTCCAGTGAATCCATGGTTCCTCACAATTGGAAGGTTGTTATGCCTACTTACGTTTTGGTGTCAGCTGATTGGTTCGCTTGGCCCATTGTAATCACTTGGTTTATTAAGGCTGACATATTATGGATTAGGTGACCGTATGGTTCCGTGACTGAAAGATGGTTATGAATGTGAAATTTTGCTATGCTTGTGACTTGCAAAATATGGCTAATCTTTGTGTTGCCTGCATACTAATGGAAAATGGTTCCATTAGGTTTTGGCCCTACTATTATGTTTTATGTGTGCTACTGCTGCAGCAGATTGCAGGGATCTGGTGTGCTACATGCAAAAATAGATGGTGATTACTATCAGGTACGTACTACTTACAAAATTTAGGTGTAAAAGTAGCACATTTGCTGTGAAAATTACTTATGGCTCTCAATAAGAGGGGTTTGCTAGAGTAAATCCATCTAAGCTTTGTTGAACTTTCAATTTTAAGATGCCTGTATCCGAGCGCTAATTGCTTTTAGTTTCTTTCTGTGCTGCTCTAACTATGAAGGACCAAGCTAAGTTCACTGTACAATGGCATATTAAGGGCCCCTTTGAATCGCAGGGTAGAAAAAACGGAGGAATAGGAAAAACATAGGATTCTGACAGGAATTGAAGTGTAAAACAGAGGATTGCAAAACACAGGAAAAACACAGGAATGGTCGTTTGATTGGAGCGCAGGAAAAACGCAGGAATCGGATGAGAGAGATAGACTCAAAGGAAATTTTCCAAGAGGTTGGAGCTCTTGCTAAATTTCCTCCAAAATCTACATGCAATGTGTCATTCCATAGGAATTTCATAGGATTTGGAAAGCTTCAATCCTTTGAATCAAAGGGCCAAATAGGAAAATTTCCTATAGGATTTGAATCCTATAAAATTCCTACATAAATCCTTTGATTCAAAGGGGCCCTAAGGCTGTGTTCTTTTGGAGGGGTTGGAGACCCCTTCCCTCCGCACGAAAAACGGAACGATAGATTAACACGTAATTAATTAAGTATTAGCTATAAAAAACTTGAAAAAATAGATTAATATGATTTTTAAAGTAACTTTTCTATATAACTTTTTTTGCAAAACGCGTACCATTTACTAGTTTAAAAAACATGTATGCAGAAAACGAGGGAGATGGGTTGGGAACTCATAGAAAAGAGGTTTGAGTTGATCTTGATCTTACTGTTCTGTACCGTGTAAAGTGGAATATTTTGGAACTTTGTTTTGTTCGTAGCATATTTGCTGGAACGGTGTAGCGCCCTACTCTTACATTCCAGTATGTCAACTAAAATTGTGGTCTTGTTACTCTTGTACTTATTTGTTTAAATTTTCCTTCCAGGGAGTGATCTAAGAGGATCGTTGAGCTGCAACAAAAGGCAATAATTATGGTGGATTTTTTTAGCTTTAAGGTTAGTTCTCCATCGTGTGCTTGACCAATAGAGTGGAATTCTATGACTTGAAACATGATTTTTTGCTATATTGTCAGAAAACTTTTTGAACCAGCTTAGTTGAATTTAGCTATGAGA